TTCCATGTTAGAAGGGATTTATATTACATATGATCAAATACATTGTTATATTTAGAAGGGGAAAAAAAAATGTACCTTCCTCTCCTTGTTACCATATCGAAATTGCAAATAAGCACACGAGCACAAGTCCTCCTCATTAACAGTGCTTATTTTGCTTAGTAATCTCATTAAATACTCCCACAGCAATAAAAATCAAACTCCTCCCCATCAAAAAAAAAAAAAAGACATTATAAAATTAGTTTTTGTCTTCTTTACAGCAAAGTCTCGAAGAAACTTGTGTATCCATCTTTTAAATAGCATACTTTAAAAAAGAAAACCACAAAACTTCTTTTTTGAGGAATGAATCAAGACTGATGGGTATCTGCAGTAATCTGCAGATGAGAGTAAATTATAAACTTAATCCATCTAATATATAAAATAATGTGGTAACTGGATTATACATTCTATACATAAGTAGGCTTTTTTAATTGCACTGTTAAGAGACAAAATAATGGAAAAACACCTCATCTTGCTTGGACATTCTGCAGAAACAGAATAAACACATGATCACACTTTTTAATAGCTATCTGCACTCAACTTGATAGCTATCTGCACTCAACTCAAGCAGTCACTACTATTTGCAGAAAACAAACTATATATTTCAGTTTTGAATTAAATATTCAGTTTTGAATAAAACACTCGCTACAAAACAGACAGTGAACATGACTTCCTTTCTATTGCAAACACTTAACTCCTAGTGATTTTGGTAAAAGATTAAAATACCTGTGCAATTGTTGTCCTTAATGGTGTAACAATGAAGTCCATACCCACCACTTCCACAAAATACTAAAAAGTTGCTGTAAAAAAAAAAAAATCACTGTCCATCTACAGTTTTCCTGATGCAAATCTTCCAGCACTTTGCCTATTGTGACTTTCTGCATCGATACTGATATACCAGGATTTTTTTGTTTGTTTTTAATAGGGAAATAAATGGAGGTTGGAGAGGGTTAGGGGGAGTTCGCTTCTCTGATCTTGCTAATACCATATCCTTGTTTCCGTTACTCGTCCATGAAGAGTTGAACACAGAACCCCAAACTCCTACCACTCATCAAAAAGTGCTTCCATTCTACCACTGCACAACACAATAAATGGAATTCTTAAGTAATCAAAAATGTAATACTTTGACTATGTTTTGAAGTACTAACATCACTCCTAAACAGGCTGGGGAAGGAATAAACTTCCTGAGGTGGGGAAGATCATCAGTACCTACGCCTAGGATTCTGTATTACATTATCTTCACCATAGACATCTGATTTAAAATGTTTATTACATTCTGCCCATATTCAGAATGCTGTAGACTAGACTACCTATGACAAGCACTCCCAACCCCCAACAGCCGTGTCACTCTTTCTTCAAACTGCAATTTAGGATCACAAAGTAGTTTATAACATGATATAATTTACTTAATGCACTGTAGTAAAATGCAACAAACTCAAAAGCTGCTGCTTTTAGTACATTATTTCTTAATCTGGTCTCTGTTACAAGAAAGTATATCACTTGGGGCACTTAAGCACCCCGAGAAGAAAAAAAATGGAGATTCAAGTTTATTAATTCTTATTTAGTACAAAAACTAAGATGCCTTTAAAAATAAGCTGGTTGTAAGGAGAATTTAAAGAATTAAAAAAAAAAAAAAAAAAAAAAGGAAGTCTTGCTTCAGTCATTTGAATTGTAAGATACCTCAGGGTATCTGCATGTGCATGGTGGAGAAGAAGTGCATGTGCAATAAACTGCATTTCTGCTTTTGCTAAGTCTGCCTTTTCATGGCTCAGATCTCCGAGCTGCAAACAGGTCATTACAATAATACTATAAAACTAAAAGCAGTCAAATGCTGATACCTCCTTTCCCCAGCTCAGTGAGATGAAGACAGATGAGGGTCTTCCCTGCAACTGCATATTCCACATCTTGGTTGGAAACACAAAAGTAGCAACAAAGACATTAACAGTCCCAGTTCAAGCTGGGAGTGACTGTTCTGTTTCAATTCAATGACACCACTAATGGCTTCTTAGCAGCTCCATGAAATCAACCAGCTGTCAACTCGATGCATCATAAGGAAGGGTTATCTCCTCCCTTAAGAAAAAGCTACACATCAGGATGTTTTGCAAAACATCTGCTCCTTTACACTTCAGTTCTATAACAAACATGCAAACAAAGAAATGAGAAAAAGGGCAAGAGAAACTAAGAAAGACTTCCATTATTGGCTTATTTCTGTTTTCAGTAGAATTCTCCAAACAGGACAAACATCTCAGTTTTTCAGCACCTTCTAACAATACTGCAAGGTTTAAATAGGAGTATTATATAAATATTGTAAATATTGCAAATTGATCTTTCAAACATGAAAAGCCACTTATTACCTGTTAATAGTGGCTATTCCTACTAATTTTACAAAATATGCATTTAGTAATCTTTCCCATAAAGTCGTTCTAATTCACTGACGAGCTAGAATAACGTAATTGTCTTTTTTTTTTTGGTGGGGGAAAGCAGCAGGACATTTACCTGTAAGGACCCTGGTACGGTGCTATTTAGTTCAAAGACTGCAAGACAAAAATATTAGTATTGCAATTCTGGTTTACTGTCAATAAACTTTGCTCACAACAGCTTATTTGTGTCTTTTGGAACTGACTTTGATGCAGTAATGAAAAGGGATCATTGCCTCACTCTCTAAAGAAATGTTTTTATTCTTCAAAGATTTTTATTTATGAAGAACTTCACTACCTAACTTTAATATGCCACCACTTGCAAAGAACTGGTAAAATTCATGATTAAAAAAAATCCACTCAAAGTAAACTTGAAATTTAATGAACAAAGATACATCCCAACAATGCCTGAAAGTTTCATTTACATGCACTTCACAAAAATTATTTTACAACTTAACAAATGCTATTCAATTTACTGATTTTGCAGCATTTTGACAAAACTATGCACAGTGTATTATAGGTGTGAGATATCAAATATACTTAACTACCGTTCTCTTAAACTACTAATACTCCGTTACTCACCATTTATAATCTACTAAATCTTCTAGGCCTTTGTTGCATGTATAATTTAGATCCATCTGTTCTATGTGCTTTTAACTACTTACACCCTTTAAATCTACCTAAGAGTCACGTAACTGGAAAATATTCTATTCAACCATGCGTTCTAATGCAGTTTTTAAAAAACACACTAAGGTACACTTGTTATTTTAAGAACTCAAGCATAGCCCTAAAGATCCTTTAGGTAGGTCATTCAATTCAAAGCTGGTTAGGGGGAAAACAATTTAAAAAAAGTCTTGATCTACTAAGAGCAACTCTTATTACTTTCTATGCTAATTGTTGACAACGTTTTTCCCAACCCTGAAGACAAAGGAAATGCAAATTAATCACAGGCAGTTTCATGTTCTTGTTACTGTGACTGTAAATATGCAGCAAGTAAAGCAAGTATAAGGAAAAAAATGGAAAATCAGAACCTGACTTACAGTACCAATCAGGTATCCAATGATCCAATTAAGTTTTACCATGTGATCAGGCTTTTCTAAGTGTATTTCAAAATTATTAAAAGCACCTTTTATCGTCTCTCTTCTCACTGATGAAACTGACACAGAGCTTATAGCAAAAGGCTTCAGGGTTTTTTTGTTTATTTAATAATGTAGTATGCTAGCTACATTCTCCCATCCTTTGTACAGCACCAGGATCACAATCCAAACTACATGTAATATATACAGGTCTTTTTCAAGATAAACCTTGCTAACAACATAGTTGAATGTCTGCTGCTTCCAAATAGGTGCCAAACTGTCATTTAAAAACGAAACATCTGTGTATTTCCATATTCCTCATCCCAAACAGAAATTGTTTAGTCCTTGGGAAAGATTCTGGACCTCGGCTTTAACATCAGCTTCACAGGGGATAACTACTTGCTGAAAACACAAGCAGTGCCTCCCCCCCGGGGAAACGATATTTAACATAAGAACTTTAAAAAGACTTTCCAAACAACTGAACAGTTAAGTTAGTTTTACATGCTAAGTGCTGAAAGGAAAGAAAATACAAAGGGACAATAACGTAAAAGCACAACTATTTCTCTACCAATTACAAAAGCCGGCAGCAGGGAAGGGAGTGCACACGCAAGAAGGAAACATTAACCAGGAGCCTTTCACTTTAAAATGTTTACTGCACCCTGGATCGGGAATCCCGGAGGAGGACACGCACTCCTGGAAAATTTCCCCCTTAAACTTTTCGTGACGTCACTGTCCCCATAACATTTCCTAAACTTTGAGCCTTATCCCAAAGACCTTCCAGGATTCCCACTCATCTCCCGTCTAAAGCAACCAGACTTGGGAATAGAAATTGCCCAAGATGGCGAAAGGCTTGTTGTTCGGAGGGCAGAAAAATGGAGGATATTGTAATATACACAAAAGGATAAATATTCACAGCTCGGCCGGGGCCGCAGCTGCCTCTCCCCTGAGAGGGCGGCAGCAGCACAAAGAGCGAGGGCGCCTCGGCGGCCGCGAGCGGTGCCGAACACAGCTCCCGCCGCCGCGCTCCGCGCCGCCGAGGGGCAGCGGAGGGGCCGCAGAGCGCGCGGGACGCGGCCAGGCCGCGCCGCCCGGCGACACCGCCCCCGCGCAATGCGGCCCCGCCGAGCACCGCTTCGCGCGCACGGAACGCGGGCGAGCGCTCCGCGCCGCAGCAGCCGGCGAGGGGCGGCGCGCGGGGCTGCGGGAGCCGAGAGTCAAGAGAAGCGGCGGCCGCAACGCCCCGCCACACAAAAGGGCCGCCTAGGGGGCTGCGGGCGCACGCCGTTCGGCCAGGCCAGAAGCGTCAGGCCCGTGCGACCGGCGCCGCGCACCAACTTTACAACCGTCCGGGAGCAGCCCGGCCGCCGCCCGCCGCGGCCCGGGCCCTCTGTGCCGGTCGCCACAACAAAGAGCGGCAGAGGCGGCGCCCCCACCCCACACACACCGCGAAGAGCGGCGCGGCCGCGCTCACCTCGCCGGTCGCCGCCTTCCTCCAGGTGCTGCCGCGGACGGGGCGGCCGGAGCGCCCCTCCCAGCAGAGCTGCGGGCGCGGCGCAGCACGGCCGGCGGGCGGGCGCCGCTCCGCGCACGTCCGTGTCAGTGTCCGTGCCGGCGCACCGCGCCTGCCCAGCCGCACTGAGCCGAGCCCGCCGCGGGCTTTCTGCACAGTCTCCGACCCGGAGTGACGTCAACGCCCAGCGCTTCGCTCGCCAACAATGAAAGTTGCTGCTCTCGAGAGGGAAGCGAAGCTGCCAGTGCGGCCGCAACCCGGCGGGACGTGACTGCCCGCCCCGCGCACGGGCAGCGCCGCCGCGGCGCCCCCCTTCGGGCCCGAAAGTTGCGGGCGGCAGACGCCCCTCGAGGAGCGACAAAAGGAGGCGCGTCCGCACTGAGCCACTCCGGAGCGAGGCGGTACGGGAAAGAGACGTGCGCAGCGCCTCAGGTGCCTGCAGAACAAGCAGCCCTGCACCGCGGAGCGGGCTCAGGTAACGAAGCAAACAGGCTTCAGACTAACAGGCAGAAATTCACAAAGCAAGAGACATTAAACTCATCTGTTTAGAAATAGATAAAATAACATCAAGTAACAAAAGCAATGGGAGGAAAAAAGTTGTCAAAACTATGTGTATTAAAACTCACCAGCCCCTGACACTTAAAAAAGAAAATGTATAATACATTCTTATCTTGCGTGAACCATCTGGAGAGGGTTTTTGGAGGCGGCTAAGAGCCTGTGGCCTCCCTCTACAAACCCTTTAAACTACACACGTGGTATCCCCCACACACTTTTTTTTTTTTTTTTTTTTTTTTTTTTTTTTTTGGCATAGTCTCAAACTCGGCCAGGGGTAAAGTACACTTCAGCAGCCAAAAGATTGCTCTTTATATACCGGAACAATATAGATTTAAAGTTACACCCCAGCACAATTACAAATATCCATCAAGAGATCTAAGTAATTTAAGCATAATCGGATAAAATATTACATTTGCAGAATTCAAGAAAATGCTCATGCTGTTCACTTTGTTAGATGCTACATATGGGCAATTTTTGTCAACACCATTTCTAAATAAAGCTGATCTCAGCATAAAGAAGTAAGTATATGTAGAAAGATTCCATTGTTTTCTGTTTCCTCTTCAGCCACTGGCTGTGATTTTTAATTGTGCTGGAGGATCTTCATTAGTATTAACACATGGGGAGATTTCACAAAGCTGCTTCATTAGGGGGAGGAAAAAAACAGCTTGGCAGACTCGCTCTTTTTGCATGCAATGAGAATGTCAGCCTTACCTCGGTCATTTGTAACATAATAAGTGCAAGCACAATGATTGCAATGCAGGAACACTGGGGGAAGGGCAAAAACGCTGCCTGTCTAATAGGGATATCAGAAAAGAAAGCTCCTCATTACACAGTAAAATGTATGCTAAAAATTAGTGAAGATGATGTCTCATGAGACCCATGCTAAGTAAATTAATGTGCTGATATGTTTTAAATTATTATTTTTGTACTAGTTTATTTTATTCCCAGCATTCACATCCAGCAGCAAAGGTTTGCTAGCATTTATTGATTTTTTTTCTCTGCCACATTCCCGGAATACAGATTTTAATCATTTCACTACACCACTCAGTAATTTCATTAAAAACTGGAACCTTCCATCCCCAGAAAAGCATTTAATTTCAATGACACACAATTTCTCTTAGTAGCAAACTGTCTCAACAGCAAAAGCTGGCCTAAGGTTCAAATGCATAATTTAGTCCCAAGTTCTCCATGCTATGCATTCCTTTGAAGCTGTAATTTGACTAACTACCTAATAACTGTAATAAGGACAATGATTTCCTTATAATATGTTATTAACCCATATTTAATTAACTCGGAGGCCAAGCGCTCTACATGTTTGATTGGTCAGTACCTCTCTAACCTCAAAACTTACTAATAATATTCTTGAAGAAAAATGTAGGAAAAGAATGAGCATGGATACAATAAATAGCTGTTTTGCACAGAATGTTACGCATCAAAAACTCATACATTTTCTAAGACAACACAAGACAACATTACTGTAACTTAAGAGATAATAGAACTTCATAATAAAAGATAACAAAGAATGGATTTAGATATCTCACTACTAAATTTGTTGGCCACTATGTATATATCTACCAGTAAATTTCAAATAAATCCTTTTCTTTTACTATCTTAACTCTAAATAATCATCCAAAACCCTTTTTTCTTTTTATAGTTAGACCAACCACACAATCTCATGAAAAGTAAATATGTATGTATTATTTAAATATTATTTAATCTTTAATTTTTATAATATTCATCAGGACAAATAATTTAAATTCAAATACAGAAGCAGAACATCCAACTGTATTTCTTCTCTTAAAAAAATTGAGGGAAGTATCGAAATTTAAATTACTGGAACATAATTGATGTAAAAAAATATTAAGAGTAGCACTTCTCAGTAGCACTTCTCATAGCACTAATATTGTTATCTTCAAGCGTCAAATTAAATATACCAAAATATGATTTAAAAAAAGTTATAATTCTTCCATTGGCCACAAATAAATCAGATTAACTACTGCAAACTTAGTAAGATTTTAACATGTTAACAATTATTTTGTTTTAAGATGCTTATTCAACAGAAGCTGTTTACAAAGTAACTATTATATCAGAGAAGTTCCTAGCTTCAAAATCTGTCCTCCTCCAGGCAATATAGAGCTATAATTATCAATTAAATTAAAAACAAAACAAACAAACAAAAATCCTGTAGCATGTGTAGTATGGAAGCAGGATTCTTTCTTTTCTTTGTATGATGAATTAATTCAAAAAAAAAAAAAAGGGGGGGGGGGAGAGTCTCTGCATTCTTTTTATGTTTCCATGGCAAGTGCCATAAAACACAATTTACCATGTCAGGATATTGTTTCGTAGTTCCATTTGTACTTTCTGATATGCTTATTGCCCTTATTGTTAATATTTAAGTAGTTGCACCCACCAATGCATTCAAAAAGTTAATTGATGAATCGAAGAAAACAGAAATAAACCCAAGCAAGCTCCATACACTTAGACAGGTACCTTTACATATTTCTATAATTACACCAAAGTCACTAGGACTATTCACATGCCAAAAGATCAATACTATCCATAAGTGTTTGCAAGGTCAGTCTCCAAATTCCTACGGGATTGTAGGGTGGAATTCAATATTAAGATCTTCCCAAAGGCGGAGTCTGTTTAGAAGGTTCCTGCTCATCACCACCCCTATTCACAGGCTAACAGCCTGAGGTTACACCCCTTCATTTGTGGCAATTTAGCTGTCCATGGGGCTATACTCTAAGGTCAATGACTAAAGTTAAACTCTACAGAAACATCTGCAGAGTCTGATCCTGTAAAATTCACCATTTCAGGAAGGCCCTCCCATTCCCTTAAGAATAAATAAAGAAATAAACAAAACTCTTCAAAAGTGTTCTGAGAGAATACCCAGAACTCATTGCAGAGGCTAGGAACTACACATACATCTGCTAACACATGACTTTGAGTAGTGTTTGCAAAGCATATGTTTTATTACAAAATATATTAGAACAAATTTAACACCTGGTAAGGACCAGTGAAGAATCACCATGATAGGAAAAAATATTATTTGCCAGGTTAATATGACTAGCCATTCTTCAGATATAGAGGGGGAGCATTTAGCATGTCATGCATGCTATTAAACAGAAAGCTGATTTTAATAAAAAGCTAAATATTCCATTCAAATACAATGTGCAATTGTGTTTTAAAACATCACATTCAAAAGCGGTAACAGTGTAAACCAGTTATGAACACAGCCTTCATGCTCAGAAGATTTGCTCTGGGCTTAGCAGGCTCATTCTTTTCACGGACAGCTGTTGGCAAAGCAGAGCTTAAGTTAACACACTCCAAGGGTTATTTATACAGGTTAACGTATCTAAAGCACTCCTAGCTTTATGCTCTTACAACCCTGGTTTTATTTTGTCATCCTAGTGTGGTTAAATGAGGACTCCTCACTACAATCAAAGTGTTTAGAAGGACATCAAGCCAGGTAATCTTTAAAAACACAATTCAATTTAAATACAATATAATACAAATGCAGCAGCCTTGCAACTGCATTGGTATGTTGATCACTGTAAACTGCTTTGTTTAATTGCTGAAAAATGAGTCTGCAGATACCTCTCTCCTAAGGTTTTACAAAGATGTTGAGGCAAATGAATATCCAAACGAATAGTCATAACTGCAGTGATTATACAGTTTAAGTTGGATGATTTCAATAAGGGTCAAGAAACAAGAACTTCCAAAGGAAGAAAATAATCATAGAATCATAGAATGCCGAAGGTTGGAAGGGACCTCAGAGGTCATCGAGATTAATAATCGAATCGAATAATCTAGATTGTAACATCACATGAAGAGTCACATTCAGAAAGCCTCCCTAAGAGTGTCTCTCTAGTCACCTACCTTATAAACAACTTACAAATCTACTTCTTAAAGTAAGTAAAGTTCTTCCAGTCCTCACCTTGTAAAATACCACTTCCGTCCTTCTTAAACGACCGAGAAACCTATTATTATTGCAGAATAAATTTTCTGCAAACCTCATTTTAGCAGTGCCTAATACTCCAACCTTGCCTTCTAGGGCTTCCCCAGCATCTCTTACATACCTTTTTTATCCATCTGTAAGCTCTGACTGTAAACAAAATTATAGTAAACCTATTTATTCTATGCAGTAACATTGATAAATGTGATCTAATTCTAAACAATTAATTCTATTAACCTTTTAACAGTAGGTAGATAAAATCTTCCTCAGCATATTCTCTCTCTACTATTGCCCACTTTACTGTTTAAATAAATAGGCCTTTATCTTGTACTCAGAACCAATATACTCAATTTTATATACTGCAGCACTTTCAACCTGGATTTGAAGCCCAGGATGTAATTGTGAACTCCAATATTATTAAAAATAACAGGCAATCTTAGGGATTTTTTTTCTTCCCTCTCCAATTATGCAAAAAAAATATTTCTACATC